ACACAGGGAAGGTGGGCAGACGTCACCGGGGCCCTGTGGAGCCAGGACGCTGCCAGGTCTGGGTCAGAGCCCCGAGCCGGGAGCCGCTGAGCCTGCGTGTGGTGGAGCCAGCAGCCTTACCCCGCCTTTCGTGAGGCGCAGACCTTGGCAGGCCTGAGGTCCCGTCCTCCTCCTCCTCCTCCTCCTCCTCCTCCTCCTCCTCCTCCTCCTCCTCCTCCTCCTCTAAGCCTCAGTCCTGCACGATGCTGGGGACTTCGCTCTGATTCCCGGGATGTGAGCATCCGATCTCAGAGCAGTCATGCCCCGAGAGGCAGACAATCCCTTTGCCCTCCGTGCTTGGCTGGGTCACTATCTGAGCTCACAGAGTGTGGCCAGATTTGGGTCCCAACAGGTATTTCTGGAGCGTGTTTGTGGGGATCCATATCTACGGGGCGGAAAGGGGGCGCTGCTTTTGCAGAGGATAGAACATCACTATTGCAAATGTGGCCATCTCTTTGAAAAATAAAATGGTTTGAGTCTAAAATGTCTGTGCTAGGGGCAGGGTGTGGTGGCACACGCCTGTCATCCCTGCACTCGGGAGGCTGAGGCGGGAGGGTCGCTGTGAGTTCCAGACCAGCCTGGGCTGCAAAGTGAGCTCAAGGCCAGCCTGAACTGCATAGGGAGACCCTGCCTCAGAAAGACAATCAACAAACAAACAAACTGACATGTCTGTTCTGCCTCAGCCTAGTCTACAAGGCAGTGGTTCACAAGCAGGGACAGCTATGCATGGCTCTGGGGACGCGTGTGGCTGTCACTCTGGGGACATCCTGGCACAGACCAGGCAGAGGCTGGGGACACTGCTCACCTCCCTGCAGTGCCCGGGATGCCCCACAGGGACGTCCCCACCTAGGATGCCACCCGTGTCCTGGCCACTGACCCATGGCCATGATGGAGGAAGGCTGGGCCATCTCTGGCACACACACGGTCCCTCCACGCTGCACCCCAGCAGCTGAGTGTCAGTGAAACTGCCCTCTGGCCTCTTCCCTGGGACCCCTGGGCTCTGTCCCCATTCCTGTCCCTGGGGCCTGGCACCCAGGCACCTCATGCGAACCCGGCCTGGGACCCTGGCACGGACAGCCAGGCAGGCAGCAGCGCCAGGAAGCCGTGACAGCCACAGAGGGCCCGGCTTCCGCCCACACCCCCACCCCCCATGCCGCACACAAGCACCCCATTCACGTGGCTCCGGGGCCTGGCACGGGTTCCGGGCATACAGCGCGCCTTTGTAGAGCGCAGGGCAGCAGTGGCTCCGATGGGGGGAAGGGGGAGCGGGCGCCCAGGAAGCTGGGGGGGGCAGCATGGGGAGCTGGGAGGCCCGAGAGGAAAAGGCCACCCCGCCAGGCCCCCCACAAGACAGCACCTCGAGAGCCAGAGGGGGCGCTTCCAGCCCACCATGGGGGTGGCAGTGGGGGCGGGGGAGCCGGCGAGGAGGCGGCACAGTGCTGGCCAGTGTGCCCTTTAGGGGCTCATGCTGGCTGCATGGAATCCACCTCGGGGTGTACGGGACCACTGAGCAAAAGATGGTACAGATCTGCGCTCTGGTGCACTGTTAGCATAGAAAGCATGGCAGAGAGAGGACGAAACACCCCCAAATAACAACACCCCGAAACCAGTTCAGTGGGGCTCCTATTCCCAGGACAAAACCACTTAAGTAACAACAGGATGCCGGCAGCCAACAGAAGACAGTCCAGTGTCCCTGGAGGGCTGGAGGGACACACACGGCCAGGACCACCAGCGTGCTGGAATATTACTCAGCCCGGAAAATGGGTGTGGGCAGATCTTAGGAACACCACACTTGGTGAGAGAGGCCGGACACTGAGAGCCAGAGCATGGATTCCACGGCCAGGAAACGGCCAGGACACAGGAAGTGGACTTGGGAGAGCAGGGCTGGAGAAGGGACAGGTGAGGGGCTCTTAGGGAGGAGAGATCTTCCTGGGGGCGGGGGAGAAGTTCTAAAATTGATTCACTATGGCTGCACAATTTGATAAGCTTGCAAAAAATAAAAAACTCTTGAATTATCTGCTTAAAATGGATGCATTTTAAGATATGCAAATAACACCTCTATTTTAAAAAGAAAACACATAGGAGGCTTCTCTCTGCAGGGTTCTCCGGAAGCAGCGGCGGCTGTGTCTGCGGCGGCTCTGAGCTGTCCACAAGCCCCACCGCCCCCAGCAGCGGGCCCAGACGGCCGTGGGGATTCCCCCAGCTGCCCACAGCCGGCGATCCCAAGGAGGGAGACAGGAGCTGGGGGGGGGGGCTGGCATGTGACCAAGGACGCTCACCCCAAGCCTTAGCTCTCCCAGGAGGGCACAGAGGGTGACTGTGAATTACCTGGAGCTTTCAAGTTTCTTTGGAATAAGCTTCAGGCACCTTGTTAAAACCAAATATATGAGGGCTGGGGATTTAGCTCAGCGGCATAAGTGCCTGCCTTATAAGCAGGCAGTCGTGAGTTCAATCCCTGGTACCGATAAAAAAAAGGAAAAAGACAAAAAAAAAAAAAAAATCCAAACACACACAGGTGTGCCGGCACAGGCCTGTCATCCCAACACTCGGGAGGCTGAGGCAGGAGGATTGATGTGAGTTCGAGCCCAGCCTGGGCTATGTAGTGAGTTGAAAGTCAGCCTGAACTACACAGCAAGACCCTGTCTCGAAAGAGGGGCCAACTTTTGATGTCCAGAGCTAATTAACCACAATTCAAATCAACATGAGGGTTCAAAAGCCAGCCAGAAGACCCAGATAGAAATAACTCTGTGCCTGAAAATTTTCTAAAAGCAGAGTGATTTCTTTCCTCCTCCCCAAAAGACAGCACTAAACAAGTGTGACATCTGACTGGTCACACTTCCTGGCATCAAAGAGGATATAAGTGTCGGGTTTTTTCCCTGCACGCCACAGAACGAGGGATCAAATGAGGGCCTAATACTGAGCTGCACCCCAGCTTTCCTTCTCTCTCTCTCTCTCTCTCTCTCTCTCTCTCTCTCTCTCTCTTTTGCTCTGACAATTTCTCACTAAGCTGCTAAGCTGCCCAGGCTGTGTTGAAACCTGCAACCCTCCTGCCTCAGCCTCGAAGAGTGCTGGGATGACAGATGGGTGCCAACAGCCCTGGCTGAGAGGGTTTGTTCTGTTTTTTACACTGGCAAATAAGTTTTGTCTCCAAGCATGGTTCTTAGCCAGGACCAGCCTGCCACCACAGGACCCCAGGCCATGCTGGGGGACATCAGCAGTTTTCACAACTGGGGAGTTTCTAGTGTTGGGCCACCGCAGGCCAGGACACCCCACAGAGAACCTCAAGTGTATCATGAGCTCAAGTTTAAAGCTCATATTTAGAAGCGAATCACTTGTTCCTAGTCTGGTGGTGTCTCAGCAGCACACATCGCAATGACTCCTCACAGGTACCCCAAGTCAGGAGAACCTGGGGAACCCTCCATCACTGACTAGACTGCATGTTCTTTCTCTCAGTTTTTTTATTCCCCCCTCCCTTTAATAATGTGGTGGCTCACACCTGCCATCCCAGCACTTGGGAGGCTAAGGCAGGAGGATCCTTGCAAATTCGAGACCAGCTTGGGCTACAAAGTGAGCTCAAGGCTGGCCTGAACTGCATAGAGATCTTGTCTCAGAAAGATAAAAGAAACAAAGAACATTTCGCTCGGAGGTTTCTCCTGCCCCTGGATCCTGGCAACCACCAACCCCACTGAGTGCTAGCTCTGGCTTTTTTATTATTCCCACCTGGCAGGGAGGAACGAACACCTGGGAGTGACACACAGCAGAGGGAAACCCCGAAGAGGAGCCTGTCCCCCAGGGCTGCGGACACTATCTCCACAGGACCTCAGGGTCACCAGCTCACCACAAACAGGTTCAGCTGCTTCGCTGTCACCCAGAAACGATGCACAGACCTAGCTGGGGACCCGCCTGTCTCCAGCCCCCACCTGCAGCCCCAGCACCCCCGCTATCCTGGAAAAATAAAGTGCCACCCACACCCCTCACTCAGGATCATCGGCCCCCGATGCCACTGTCACTCCCGAAAAATTCTGTCACCCGTGTCAGCTTTGCTGCACCCCGAGATGTCTGCCCCTCTGCACCCTCCACCACGAAAGAGGTGAGGCAGTACTGCAGACTCCCGTGGGGTCTCTGTGGGGTGCGACGCGGCCCCTCACCCATCCCCACACCGAATGATCGGCACCCCAATACACACACACACAGGGAGGCGATTCCGCCCCCAATCTGGACCATCAAATCCAAACCCAGACCCCCGATCGCCTCTTTTCTCCAGCCAGGCTGTACAAAGACACCTGTCCCCAGCTCCCCAGGTCCCGGGGTCCCCGGCCCGCTGCCCCGGCCCCCACATCCTTTCCCTTCACGCCCCTCTGCGAAAAGCCTGGCCCTCCGGCCTCCACCCCTCAGCTGCTTCCTGACCCGGACTAACTTCGGCCCTGGGTTTTCCACCCACTAAAAATGGGGGGCTGCTGGGGCTGGAGGGGGGCTAACCCCGAACCCCAAGCCCCCCAAACATCCGTCGGGGCAACTCAGTCTCCCAATCCCAGCTGTCTGCAGCCCCCCTCCTCGGCAAATCCCACCCCGAACTCCATCCCCGGGGGGCCCCCGCCAACTACCTGGCGCCCCCAGATCTCTCAAATACCCTTGACCCTCCGATCAGCCCCGTCCTGCTCCCCATCGGCCCTCCTCTAGCTTCCTCCCCAGCTAACTGAGACCTCCGGCTGCACCCCTGGTCCCCTTTTAACTAACCTGCACCCCTCCCCAGCCCCTTCTCGGCTGACTCCAGGAGCCCCCCGCCCCGCAGCTGCCCGGGCCCCCCGACTCCAGCCCCTTTCCAGAGGACCAGGTCCCCCAACTCCAGCCCCCTCCCGAGTTGACCCCAACCCCCAACTCCCAGACCCCTCGCCAGCTGAACCCCCAACTCCAGCCCCAGCGCCGTCCACAGCGGACCCCAACGCCGCAGACGCCCTCACCTGCGCTCCGGCCCGCCGCCGCCGCCTCAGCCCCGCCGCGCAGCCGAACCCGCCGCCCCGGCCCGCGAGCGCTGGCTCCCTCTGCGGGGCGGAGCCTGGAGCGGGGGGCGGGCCCGGCGACTCGGAGTGACCAATCGCGATCCCAGACGCCGGAGGCCGGAGCAGGGGGCGGGGCGCGAGGCAGGCATCGGGGTAGGCTGCGCCCGGGAGAACGGGGCGGGGCTTCAGGCGCGGGCGGGCCCGGAGGGAGGAGCCTTGAGTGGCACGGCAGCTGGCCATCGGCGAGCGGGGAACGCGAGAGGAGGGCGGGGCTATGCTAATTTGCAAATCAGTCCTGTGCTCCTAAGCGAGCGAGGAACAGGTTTCCAGCGGTGACTGCGTCACGTCCACGCAGTGCTCGTGTTCGAATCCCGGGCGCGACGTGGAGGTCCAGTTGCGAATCCTAACCCCGGAAGTCACTGCCTCGAGAAGAAAGTCAAAAACAGTAACCGCGGCGACACTTTCTTAGACACTGTTAATCCCCCTCTCACGGAACCCTCTGCAGAAGGCTAGAAAATGAAATTATTACTCCTGGTACTGACGCTGAAACCCAGGGATTCTTGAACGCTCAGCAAGCTATCACCGAACTGCACCTCTAGCCCTTATTTTATTTGAGATGTTCTCACTAAGGTATCTGGGCAGGCCTGGAGCTTGCAATCCTCCTGCCTCAGCCTCCCAGCTACTAGGGTCGAGCACATTTGAAAGAGAATGGAGCTACCATATTCCGTGGCCTTGGGAACTCTGTTCAAGGCTGACAATCCGTGATCTCCAGCTGTGGGCCTCGGGGCTCATCTCCGCAGGGCTCCTGTTTTCCCCACAGGAATCTCTGTTCCTCCTGTAGGTGCCAGCTGTCCGCCCTGTCCCCTGCAGGACGCAGGGAAGCCAGGCACGTGGACAGGCACCAACTTTCCCACCTGCGACCAGACAGGCAGCCTCAGCGCGCACCTTCAGCGGAGGGGCAGTGGGCGACCCTCCAGGCGCAGGGTGACCGAAACCCCCGCAAAGTGTTAAACCTACAGCCAATGTTTTTTTTTGTTCGGTAGCGGAGATCGAACTCAAGATTGCCAGCTTGCAAGCCAGGTGCTTTTGCTGCTGAGATAAATCCCCAGCCCTATGGCCACTGTTTTAAAATCAAGATATGGGGCCTGAGTTGCTGATAGGTTAGTGCAGCGTGTACGACCCCCAGGGCGCAACCCCTAGTGCCAAACGCAGAGAAAGAGAAAATTATCAATAAATAATTTTAAAAATCAGGAGCCAGACATTATGGGCACAACTGTAATCCTAGCCCTTGGGAGGCTGAGGCAGGAGGATCCCAAGTTTGGACACAACCTGGGTGAGGTGATTCAGTGAGAATCAGCCAGCACCTCTAACAAAATAAAAATGTTTTTTAAAAAAATTTTTTTAAAGTTGAGGATTTAGCTCAGTGGCTTAAGCTCTTGCCTGGCAAGTGCGAGGTCAGGAGTTCGACTCCCCCATACACAAAAGTAATAAATAAATGAATAAATTTTAAAAAGACAAGAACAGGAAATGTAGCTTAGTGCAAGGGTCCCAGGTTCACTCCCCGGGGCTGCAAAAAAAATTTTTTAAAGAAACAATAGGTAAAAAAAAAAACAAAAAAAAAAACTAGATTTTTTTTTAAAAAAAAGAAACTGGCTGGGGATTTAGCTCAGCGGCATAAGCACCTGCCTTGCAAGCGCGCAGTCGTGAGTTTGATCCCCGGTACCAAAAAAAAAAAAAAAGAAAAAAAAAAAAAAAAAGAAAAGAAACTGAAGGTTTATTTTAAAAAATTAATAAAGTTACATCCGACCATAAAAAAATGATAGAGACCTCAGTGTAGTTTTTTGGGGTTTGGTGTGTGTGCGTGTGTGTGTTTGAGACAGGGTCTCATCTCACTTTGGAGCCCAGGTTGGCCTTGAACTGACAGTCATCTTCTTGCCTCAGCCTCCCGGGCGCTGAAGTTACAGGAATGCACCACCACGCCTGACCCAAGGGTACTTTCCAGCCACTTCCCCCAGCGGGAATGTTTTGCAAAACTGGTACAGCGTCGCCTCAGAATATGGTACTGTACTCCCCCCCCCCCCCCCGCCAGGCTCCTGCAGCCTGCCGTGGCCACGCCCACCCCACCCTGCCGTGGTCACGCCCGCCCCTGCCGTAGCCACGCCCACCCCACCGCGTCCCTAACCCAGGCACCAGGGGTTTGTTTGTTTGTTGGTTGGTACTGAGGATCCTCCCTCTTGCAGGTGCTACTGCTGAGCTATATCCGAGGCCCCTCCTGTAGGTTCTTGTTTGTATCGATATTTTTTTCGTTTCTCTTTTTTTTCCTCTCTCCCTTTCCGTCTCTCTTTCTTTCGCAGTACTGGGGATGGGACCCAGGACTCTCACACCGAGCTCCATCCCTGGCGCTTTTTATTTGGAGACAAGATCTATCTATGCTGCCCAGACTGGGCTCAAACTTGAGATCCTCCTGCCTCAGCCTCCCAGAGTGCTGGGATTAAGGGCATCCACCGCCACTGGGGATGGACTCAGGCCTCAGCACACACTCACGCAGTCGCCCCTGAGCTGCACCCCCGGCCTGTTCCTGGCGCTGCCGAGCCCGGGCTCCTGGTACCAGTGGGCCCACTTTATCGCCTGCCCCTGAAGGCTTTATTCATTCTTTCCAGGGTTTTTGCTTTTTCAGATAAAGCTGCCACAAATACATGATTTACACATGAACACAAGTCTTCATTTCTGTGGAATAAATATCCGGGAGTGCGATTAGTGTGTCATGTGATAAGCACACGGCTATTTTATTTCATTTTTGGGTCGTTTTTGCTTTTGTCTTGAGACAGAGTCTCATTATGTAGTTCACGCTGGCCTCAAAGTCACAGCGATCCTCCGGCCTCAGCCTCCCGAGTGCTGGGATCACAGGCATGCACCACAACTGGCTATTTCTGATTTTTTGAGATAGGGTCTCACTCTGCAGCCCACGTTGGCCTTGAACTCACAATGATCCTCCTGTCTCAGCCTCTTTAGTGCTGAGATTGCAGGACTGCACCACCACACCTGTAATTTTTTTAAACTGCCAAATTTTCTCCCACAATGATGTCTTTGTTTTTATTTTATGATACAGGAATCAAACTCAGAGCCACACACATATTTGACAAGTGCTTTGCTAAGCCTTCAGTCTTTACTTTTGAGTGAGCTAAGCCTTCAGTCTTTATTTTTGAGACAGGCCCTCACTAAATTTAGCCCAGGTTGACTTCAAATTTCCAACCCTCCTGCCTCAGCCTCCCAAGCAGTTGAGATGATAGGTGTGTGCCACTGTGCCCAGCAAGAATTACATATTTTTTTAGTAGTTGATTTTTTCCAGAACGTTATCATCATTAAAAAACATTAAAGAGTTGAAAGGGTGTTATATTAAAAACTCCCAAATCATCTTTTTCTTATATCATTATAAAGTTTAAATACTTCATTTATACCCAGGCAGAATATGTTAAAATTTTATATTTCTAGCTTTAATGGCAGCAAATTCATTAGTCATATTGTCAAAATCCACTTCTGGAAAAAAAATCGACCGTTACCAATGCATAAAGATGTATAGATATATAAAGATGCGTATATAAAAATAGATGGATGCAGACACGGTATACACCGCAGTGTTCTCCTGCCTGAGGCTCCCATAGCAATGTTGGATTCTGTCTTTATTTAAAATTTTAATATTTATACTTGGAGGCTGAGGTGAGAGGATTTGCTGGAGCCTGGGAGGAGCTGCAAGCAGCCTGGGCTACATAGAAAAAGTTAATATTTAATTCAATGCACATTTTAAAAAATCTTTTTGAGGCAGGGTCTCACTGTGCGGTGCAGGCTGGCCTTAAGCTCACTTTGTAGCTCAGGCTGGTCTCGAACTTGCAACGATCCTCCTGCCTCAGTCTCTCTCTCTCTCTCTCTCTCTCTCTCTCTCTCTCTCTCTCTCTTCTCTGTCTCTTTCTCTCTCTGCAACCTGAATGTCGTCGTTTTCCTGGCTTTGAGGCTGCATGGTAGTTCTACAAAATGCCTTCCTGGGAGAGGCGAGGGTAAAAGAGCTCTGTGCATTTTCCTGGGAATCAATCGCTATTAAAGAGAAAAGCTTTTTTTAAAAATGCAGTCACATGTAAATTCTATTTCAGTAAGAAATTTTATTTGATGCCAGCCTGGCTCCATAGTGAGTTCAAGGTCAGCCTGGATTATGTAGTGGGACCCTGCCTCCCCACCCCACCCCCAAATATGTATCAAGTAAAATAAATGGGATGTATAAAAATGGTAATATGTCTTGATGGCTGGGGGACTTGGCAAGCTGGACTCTGGTACAGAGGGGGAAACTGAGGTTCTTCACTTTGTCAAATGGGCCTCTCGGGCTGGGGGGTGGCTCTGTGGTTGTTCGTGTGCTTGGCGTGCAGGAGACCCCGAGCTTCACCTCCAGCACGATGAACTAGAGATTTCAACGTGAGGCTCTCAGCATTCTGCCTACTGCCCTCTACTGGCCACCGGGGAAACCTGAGCATTCCCATCATGCCTCAGGGCCCTTTACCCTGAATCCCTTAAGGCTATGTAATCTCCATTCACCCTGCTGACCCTCTGACTGCCCCAATCCCAGGTGCCCATCCCTCCCTCCCTCTGTCCCAGCCACTCCAGCCTCGGGACCTTTGCACATGCTCTTCCCCTGCCTGGGGCTCCTCCCAGGACCTCCTGGCTCAGCATGAAAGTTTCTCCCAGGTCAGGTCGCCATGGACTCCTACTCCCGGTGCTCTTTTGGGATCCAGATTGATCTTCTTCTCCTTATATGCTGGGCTCAAACACAATTCTCCTGCCTCAGTTTCCCAGGGTCCTGGGACGACAGGTGTGCAGGCTTCCCCAGCTCTGTCCTCTGCTCTGAACTTCCTCCTCCTCCTCCCTCCCCTCGCCTGCCCCCCTCCACCCCTCCCCTGCCCACCGTGCCCACCCTCATCCTCTGCAGGTGGCAAGCCCACCATTCCCCCAACCCCTCCACAAAAAAGTGTCTCGGAGCTTCGGGGCCACACAGGAGCCATATCTTTATTGCAGGAAGACTAAGTCTACAGTGGACGCGACACAGACCCCACGGCGGACAGCGGGCAGCGGGCGGGGGATGGGGGCAGGGCTCCCACATGCAGAGGGGCAGGGTGGGGTGGCAGCGAGCGTAGTCTGGCAGGGTCCCCAGCACCAGGGCTGCCCGGGCAGGATGGGCAGTGGCCAGGGCGGGCTGCTCCCCCTATTGCAGATGCCCGAGCCCCGGGGCAAGGAGTGGGAGAGGCCCAGGGTGGGTCGTGGCCCCGTGGGAATTGTGCTATCAGGGTGCGTCCCTGAGAAAGGGCCGGGAGCCCTGTCCAGCCAGGAGCCGCTCCCGGGGGCCAGGAGAGGGGACGTCAACAGCGGCTGCCGGGGTCCCTGGGCCCTGTCCAAGATCAAGGCTCAGCTCTGCTGGGACACGAGGCTGTGGGTCTGGAGCCTCACCCACGCACACCCACGTCCACTCCGGGGCAGCCTAACGCGCACACATGCTCCCTGCCTCTCTGCATCCATGGAGGGGACAGTCCCCCGAACATGAGAGGAAACCATCACAATGGCACAGAGGGGCTCTGCTCCTTCCTGTTCCCCTCAGCCACATGCAACTTCCTCTAAGAGGCCTGCCTGTCATCTCGGCACTCTGCGAGGCTGAAGCAGGAGGGTCCCAAGTTCAGCCCAGCCCGGGCAACTTAGTGGCTTAGTGGGAACCTGTCTCAAAATCATAGCAAAATCAACAAGAGCTGGGGATGAACCTCGGAGCAAGGGCCCTGGAGTCCGTCCCCAGCACTCCCCCTAGAAAACCTCCAAAAGTTGAACAGTGTGTCTGCGTGTGTGTGTGTGTGTGTGTGTGTGTGTGTGTGTGTGTGTGTGTATGTGTGGTACTGGGAGTCAAACCCAGGGCCTCTGCACTGAGCTCCACCCCAAGCCTTGTTTTCTTTTTGTTATTTTGAGCCCTTAGGGTCTCCCTAAGTCACTAAGTTGCCCAAGGGAGCTCTAACTGCCAGGCAGGTGATCCTCCTGCCTCAGCCTCTCTAAAGGTAGGGACAGGTGTGCACCACCCTGCTTTGCTCCAGGGGACCCCTTCGCTGTGGCTTTGGGAGATCCCGAGAAAGAATCCAACTCACCCCACCCAGGCCCTTGAGTCACAGAAACTCTGAGGCAGTAAGCATAGGTCGCTTCAGGATGCCACACCGGTGCATTCCTTACACAGCTCTAGCTGACTGATAACAGCTGCCAGGCCAGGAGCTGGCCTGCATCGGACTGCAGCAGGCTGCCAATAACCAGGGGCACTCACCCCTGCAGACACGGCCACGTTCAGACAGTGCAGAGACACAGAAAAATCAAACTCCTAATCTCTGTCAACAGCCATGAACAAATGGCCATACCACCTCCCCTCACGTGTCACCAGGGCCTTCAACAGGTGCCAAACACACCCCCCTAAGCACACACACACACACACACACACACACACACACACACACAGGTGCACGGATATGATATCCCACAGCCACCGGGGAGTCCTCGGGAAGTCACCCAGACAATGAGGGACACCCCACATGTCAGAGCTTCTGAGACCCCGGAACCGGGACACTTCCTGGTGCCCCATCTGTGGGGCAGGGTTGGCAGGAGGAAGTGGGTCCCACCGGGGGCCCCCAAGCATCCGGCTGGTGCTGGGTGCCAACGACAGGCCCTGGACGGGGCTCGGGTCGGGTCTGCCCGGCCACCCCCTCCCCAGCATCCTAATTCCCAAGCGGGGGCTGGCAGTGCCCTGCTGCCCTGCCCCGGCGGCCTGGCTGGCCCACCCCGGCTTGTGCTGTGGCTGCGGGCCCAGCCCTGGGGTGAGGCCGCAGGGCCCGTGGTTATTGCCTGGTGGCCTGAGGCCCATCGCGGGGCCCCTCCTGCTGTGTGCAGCTGGGCCCACAGGACGGGGCTGTGGGCACAGGGGGTGCCGGGGTGTGTGTGCAACACGGGGGGAGACAGAAGAAGAAGAAGAAGAGAATCTGAGGTCGCTGTGTGGTTCGGCCCCAGCTCCTGGGAGGTCACAGTGATCCAATGTGGTGACAAGGATGGAGCTCTGGCCGGGGCACCCAAAGGGACAGCGGGACGGAGACTGGGGTCCTCGGCAAGGCGGCTTCTCTGGTCCTGGCCGTGACAAGCAGCTCTTCTGGGCAACTGCCCCAGGACGGGGGTGGGGGGGGTGGGGGGTGGGGTATGGGGCCGTGTCCAGCTCCGGGCGGCCGAGCCCACGGGTCAGGGGTGGGAGGAGAAACCAGCGCTGGGCGGGAGCCGGGGTGCTACACAGGGCTGGCTGCGCAGCCTCGGTTTCCCCAAGTGAGATGAGGGAGGGGAGGTGGGGAAGGAGGAGGAAGAGGGGGAGGACGATGGAAGAGGGGAAGGGGGAGGGGAGAAGGGGGAGGAGGAAGGAGATGGGGAGGGGAGAGGAATGGGGGGTAAGGGAGAGGAAGAGGGAGGGAAAGGAGGGGCAGGGGAGGGGGAGGAAAGGGGGAGGGGAAGCGAGAAGGGGGAGGGGTGGGGAGGGGGAAGGGTGGGGCAGGAGGGCTGGGGCGGGAGGGGGTGGGGGAGGGCTGGGGCGGGAGCAGGAGGGCGGCCGCCTGCAGAGGCGCCTCCCCGCGGCCGGCCGGCCGGTCGGGCCCTCCGTGTCCCCGCGCGCGCGTCCCGCGTGGCGCCCGCCCTCACATGAGGCTGCACTTGCCCTTGGCGCGCTCCCCCCGCGCCTGCTTGCCGGCGCGCTTGCCGTCCACGCTGAGGCTCACGCTGCGGCGCGTCTCGCGCGTGAGCAGCTCCTGGAAGAGCTCCTTCACGTTGTAGTTCATCTTGGCCGAGGTCTCCATGAAGGCGCACTTCCACTGCTGCGCCAGGGCCTGCGCCTCGCGCGTGTCCACCTCGCGCTGCGCCTCGTCGCACTTGTTGCCCACCAGCACGACGGGCACGTCCTCCACGCTGCCCTTGATCTGCACGATGCGCCTGTAGATGGGGCCCAGCTCCTCCAGCGACTGCTTGCTGGTCACCGAGAAGACCAGGATGAAGGCGTGGCCCCTGGAGATGGACAGGCGCTGCATGGCCGGGAACTGGTGGCTGCCCGTGGTGTCCGTGATCTGCAGCGTGCACACGCTCTTGTCGCAGCTGATCACCTGCCGGTAGGTGTCCTCGATGGTGGGGATGTAGGTGTCGCGGAACGTGCCCTTCACGAAGCGCAGCACCAGCGAGCTCTTGCCCACGCCGCCGGCCCCGAACACCACCACGCGGTAGTCGTTGCTCTGCTCCGGCATCTTCTCCCGAGAGCGGCCGCCGCGACGGCGACCCTGTGCGGAGGGGAGGCTCAGGCCGGTGCTGCTCGCCCCGGGGGAGCATCTGGGCCCCCCTCACCCTCCCTGGGCCCTGCGGGCTTCCTGGCTCTTCCAGGCTGCCTTCGGGCCGTGGGAGCCATGCACCCGCCCCCAGCCAGCCCCATCTCAGCAGGGCTCCGAGACCGAGTCTCCTCATCTGGAGCCTCAGTTTCCCTTCCCAGCCCCAGTGGGTGACTGAGTGTGTCCCCCGCATAAGCACAGTTCCCAGCTCTTCTGCAGTCCACAGCGTCCTACATCTCCTGGGAGCCACGGGGTGGGGTGATTTAAGTGGCCCGTAACTAATTCTAGCACTCTGGGAGGCTGAAACGGGAGGATCGAAAATTGGAGCCCAGCCTGGTAAACAGGGATTTAGCGGGACTCTGTCTCAAAGTTGAAAAGGAGCTGGGCCTCGCGGTGACCACCTGTCATCCCAGCACTCGGGAGGCTGAGGCAGGAGAAGCACCGCAAGTTGAGGCCAGCCTGGGCTACAGAGTGAATTCAAGGCCAGCCTGAACTGTGTAGTGAGATGCTGTCTCAAAGGGGCACCTTTTTAAAGGGCTGGGCTGTAAATGCCTGCATGGCAAGTGCAAGGTCCTGAGTTTGAGTCCCAGTACCACAAGAAAAAGGAGAAGACCCAAAGTGCTGGGGACGTGGCTGGGGGGAAGGCCCTGGATTCAGTGCTCAGCACCTCAAAAAATGTAGCTTTTGGGGCTGGGGGTTTGGCTCAGCGGCATAATAAATGCCTGCCTTGCAAGCACTTGGTGGTGAGTTCGATCCCCAGTACTGATAGAAAAAAAAAATGTAGGTTTTAGGGCCTCCATCCTAAAGCTGCCACATCAGTTGGTCCTTGCGAAGTTTTTGCAGCTCTGGGCTTGAAACCCAGGCCGCACACACACTCTGCAAGCTCTCCCGCTGAGCTGCACCCAGTGCCCAGAACTTGCATTTTTAAGCCACTTCTCTGTTCCCCATAACTATGACCCCAAAGCTGAGGAGCCACGGTTTGAAAACCAAGATGCCGGTTCCCCACAGTGGCATCCCGGGAGCCAGGCCCTCCCAGCCCAGGGAAGGGGAGAGTCACAGCTGGAGCTCAGTCGGGCCTGGAGGTGCATGCTTGGGATCCAGGAGGCTGAGGCAGGAGCATCCCCAGCTCCAGCCAGCCTGGGGAACTTAGTCAGTTACCCAGACTTGTCTCAAATACAAAATGAAAAAGGGTTGGGGACACAGCTCAGGGTGAAGGCCCCGGGGTCCATCCCCAGTGCCAAAGAATAAAGAAGGGAAGGAAATTTGGAGCTCCTTAAACTCTGTTCCCAAATAAGGGTCCGGCATGCCCTGGCCTCCCACCCGAGTCTGATGTGTCTTTAGGAACAGAACTTCCGGTGGGGGCGAGGATCCTCTTATCCTCTGGCTTCTGTGCTCAGAGAAGCCCAGCGCCTGCCTCGGAAGGTCACACAGCCCAGATTCCTGAAGCGCTTCAGCCCCGGGGGGGGGGGGGGGAACCTGTGGGGCAGAACCAGCAGCCCCACTCCTATAAGACAGGGGAGACCCATCCCTCCTTCCCCGTCTCCTCTGGGCCTGAGGTCCCTCTGTAAGGGCACCACAGCAGGACAGAGGAGCCACTGTCCTCGACCCCGGGCTGGGCCTCCACCTGCCCAAGCGGTGTGGCCAAGGTCATTTCCTGGGTGCCTGTGGGGAGGTTGGAGGCTCACTTCCAGCCCAGCCAAGGCCCAGGGCTGCAAAGCAGCACTCTGGGAAGCTGAGGCAGGAGGATGGAGGGGTGAAGCCCAGTGTAGCCAGGGCAGTGTAGCCAGACCCTGCTCAAAAGAAGAAATTTAAAGAGGGCTGGGGGTGTAACTCAGTGCCAAGGCCGTGGGTTCAGACCCCAGGACTTAAAAAAAAAAAGTTTAGCAAGGCACAATGGCACACATCTGTGATTTCTGCACTCAGGAGGCTGAGGCAGGAGGATCGCTTCGAGTTTGAGACCAGCCGGGGCTACAGAGTGAGCTCAAGGCCAGCCTGGACTGCACAGTGAGACCCTGCCTCAAAGAGACAAAAAAAAAAAAAAAAAAAAAAAAGTAAGTTTTTGTAAATAAGGTGCTGACACAATCCCTCTTTCAGTCCCCAGACTGGCTGGGTGTGTGTGTGGCCCCTCCAGGGGTTTTAAAGGCACATTCTGAATTATCAGAGGTACTAGATTTGTTGGGAGGTGGGTTATAGAAGTGACAGCTGGCACATGGCCCAGCGACGCTGGGGAAACTTATTGCAGCTTCAGGAAAGACCACCCACAACCAAGAGACTAGGCCCTGGCAGCGGCCGGGGGCCCGCTTGCGGGTTCTCTTTCCGAGGTGGGCGCTAGCTGCAGCCAGATGCTGCCACCATAGGGACGGGGGCGACTTGTGGGGTGGATTCTGCTGCCCTAGACCAAGTGCTGCCTTGTTTGGGTAACTGAGGGCTGCACCCCTCACCAGGGCCCCCCACAGGGGGGCTGGACCGCACTGGTAGCCCTGGGCCTGGGCCCCTGGCAGCCCACTCTCGCTCCGCTGCGGGGCGGGGGTCGTGGGTGCCGAGCTGGCGCGGGGACAGTCGGGCTCAAGGTCACGCGGGCAGGAGGTGGCACAGCGCAGCAGGACCTGGAGGCGTCCCTGCCTGGTGACCGGCCCGGGGGTCCTCGGCTTCACCCCAGGGAAGCCTCTCGGCCGCCTTGGCCAGGCAGACCTGCCCGGCGCTGGGTCTGCGGGCGGCCGGGCCCCGGGGCCCTGGGGGTAACTTGGGGTCCCCAACAGCGCCCCGGCCTGAGGGACGCGGGGGGGGGGCGGGGGAGGCGTCTTGGGCTGGGGTGAGGGGCCAGGGAGGGGTTTGGCGGGCGCAGGGCCACCTCCGGGGGCCTGAGAGAGGGGAGCATGCTGGGGGCTGCCGGGGGGGGGGGTCCCCGGCTCTGCGTGCAGGGAAGGTCCCGGCAGGGCTGGGGGGCCCGGGGGATGGGGCTGGGGAGGGCGAGGTGGGCACGCAGGGCCCAGCGGGCAGCGCCCGGAGGACGCCGGGCGGAGGGCGGCCAGCGGTCCCCGAGGGGCTGCTCCCCGGCGGGGCGCCCGCTGCAGAGGCCCCCGGAGCCGGGAGGGAGTGTCCGAGGCCCGCCGAGGCCGGGCCGTGCCGCGGGCCTGCGCAGCCCGGAGGAGGCCGTGGGTGGGGCCGCACAGAGGCGGGTGCGCGGGAGGGCGCCCCGGGACCCCCCCCGCCCCCAGCCCGCCGCCTACCTGGGCCGCTGCTGCTCGGCTGCTGTCCGCGCCGCCCCCGCCGCCGCCGCCGCCGCAGTCCCGCGTCCCGCCCGCGTCCCCGCCCGCCCGCCTCCGCGCTGTCCCCGCCCCACCGCGCCGGGGGGCGCCCACGGCCTCCCCAGGGACCCCGCCCCACACCCCGGGGCCGCGGGCTGGGGACGGCGCGGGTGCGAGCGCAGAGGTCGCCCTCCAGCCGGGAGCCCGGCAGGACAGATGACCAGATGACCCGGCCAGGGCGCTGCGGGGAGCAGGGGGCCCGGGCTGCGGCGACACCCGGGTCATGGCCGTCCTCGCTGCCGGACTCAAGGTGCAGCCTCCAGACACAAAACAGGGTCAGTCAGGCGGCGAGGTGGCGCAGGCCTGTCATCCCAGCACTTGGGAGGCTGAGGCAGGAGGATCTTTACACGTTCAAGGTCAAAGTGGGCTAAAAAGTGAGCTCAAGGCAGCCTGAACTACATAGCGAGGCTGTCTCAAAAAGACAAAAAAACCCCAAAACAAACATTAAAACAATGCCAGTCATCAGCTCTGAGAGGGCAGAGGTGGGGCTCAGAACAGTGGGGTGTCCCACCCACACCCCCAGGGTTTGTGTGGCCTGCTGGGTGAGGGTGGGGCTGGGTTCCAAGGGTACCCCGGTAGGCCAACCGGAAGCCTTTGTCCGAGGACCCCCGGAGGGCTGGGGCTCACCTGCCCCTCTCCTGCCCCTGGGGGGAGCAATCCCAGGCTTTTGGGCTGCGCTGCGCCCCCCAGCCCCTTTTCTTCTTGGTGTCCAGGATGGAAGGCCGGCCCTCTCCCATGCTGGGCAGGTGGTGCACAGCTGAGCCACAGGCCTGGCCTTCATTTCATTTTATTTATTTATTGTTTGAGATAGGGTCTGAGTGGCTCAGGGTGGGCTGGCCCCGAAAATCTGCCTCAGCCTCCTGCAGTGCTGGGGTGCCAGGCTTGTGCCTCTGCTGGCTTGGAGCTTGTCCTGGGCCCATTTCAGGGGACACTGGACTTTGGGCTCCAATTCCACACCCGAAAGGGCCCCTGGGTGGGTGTGAGGGGTCCCCACAGAAGGTGTCGGAGGAAGGTGCCCCTTGGCCCCCACCCTCGTGGGGAGGCCCGGGAGCTCCTGGAGTCGGGGTGTCAGGTTCTCAGCTGCGGCCTTGAGCAAATGGTCCTCCTCTGGCTCCTTGGCTGTCCCTCGGTGGCTGGCAGCTGAGGTGACCCCTGCTTGTTCCCCGCTCCATCCCAGCCTCCAGCAGTGCCACTGTGACCTGACCACCCCAAGGGGGACCTCAGCTCAGGCCACTGTCAGCAGCAGCATCTCCCCGAGGGGCGTGAGCTCCTGGCCGGCCACTCCTGGGGCTCCAGCCCCTGCGGGCCAGGCTGACTCAGGCAACAACTCCTGGACACTGCCTGCTATTTATAGCTTCCCGGGCGCCAAGCTCCAGGCCTGGGGAGCCAGGCGAGGCCGAGTCCCTGTCCCCTCCCCTCTCTCCCCGGGACGCAGAGCCCCGGAGCCTGCAGACTCCAGACAGGAACTGGCCAGGTTTCTTCCAGGCCACTGTCCGCCCACACTTGGAAACCGAGGCCAAAGCAGGGATGCAGCTTCGTCAAGGTGGCCCAGCGAGGGAGGCTGGGCCAGGACTTGTGCAGGGGACAGCTGTCACCCTCCGTGCCCGTCCTTGCCTGAGCCTGCACCCCACAGACATCTCTTCACCCCTGTGCCCTGCTGGGGCCACGTGGCAGTCAGGTTTCTAGACTGGCATCAGTGTTTCCCTTTATTTATAAAATATGTCATTAGTGTTAGTTTTCTGTTCTTTTTGCCAGGCTGGACCTGAACCCAGGCCATCACACACTTAGGTGAGTGCCCACCACGGAGGGCCGCCCCCAGCCCAGCACCCATGTTTCACGACAAGGAGAGCATTTGTCAAATCATCACAGCAGCGCCAGGCCCCTGGGGGCAACCTGGGCTCTCCTAGCAGATTGGAGGCTGTTACAGTGCCATCTCGGAGCAGTGGGGTCCTGAGGCCCTTGGTGCTGGGGGATAAACTCCCAACCCTGACACTTGTGTCTCTGTACAGACAGCCCAGGCTGCTTTGGTCATCAGGAAAGGATGAGATCTGCAGAAAGGCCCCAGGGCCTTTGCACAGCCAGTTCCCATAGCTGAAGATGCTTTTCCTCCAGTGCTTCTCAAGTGCCGTCTCCTCTGGGTCACTTCCTGGGGACAGGGCCAAGTGCCCTCTTCCTGCCTGGCACCTGCTGCCACCTGACAATGTGCTGTGTGTTGTCATTCTTGGTCTTCCTCGTGGCAACGTGAGTGGTCTGAGTTCTGTGCTGGGGGTCCTGCCAGCCTCCCAGGGACACCGGATGCGTTCTGGGAGTGGAGTGGGCGGCAGCGGAGGACAGGAGGCAGGCTCTTGGCTTTCTCTAATGTCCTGACATAGAGACAGCCTGCCTGCTGTGTCACAGGGTGGCTTGTCTGGGCCTAGGGACTCTGGCTCTGCCCATCCCACCCACCCGGGCGACCGGAACACAAACACAGCAGAGCACACACTGCCACGCTGGATTATGGTGGTGCCCATCACGAATGATGCTGCGGCAGACCCCCCGGGGTACAGACTGGGGCCGGCAGAATCCTGGGGGCTAGCAGGGTCTGAGTGGCATCCCCGCCCTCCAGCCAGTGTCCCCAGACCCCACACAATGTCCCCGGGGCTAGAGTCTCAACTGAGAACCGCAAGAAGGCACACCAGCCTTCACAGTGGCAAGGAGACAGCTCCGGGCGTCACAGTGGCCGAGGGTGCCGCCTGCCACCAGATGCAGCCGATGCTGGCCAACCCTGCGGAGCCCAGGAGGGCCTGGGGGTGGTGGCCACTCCCCGCTCACCCAGGCAGAAGGAAGCTCCGATGCCCATGTGGCCAGGACCTCCATGAAGGGCCGTGCAAAGGCCCTACTCCGGGTAACTGGTGGCCACACCTCACTTCCTTTTTAAAAGTGGGGGCAGCCACAGAGCTGGGCCCAGGAGACAGCATGTGTGTGTGTGTAGCCTTGGGCTGGGCGGGACCTGTCCTGGCCCGGAGCTGGCAGGGTCTCTCTTTCCACAGCAGAACACAGACTTGGTGAGGCCTGGGTGAACTTCGGCAACGGCGCGCCCTGGGACGAGGCGTGCCTGGCGGTGGATGGGTGGAGGGCCTGGGGGTGAGCTCCAGCTGAGGCATCGGCATGACCAGAGGCTGGGGGCAGCCAGGCCGGCTTGCTGGCGTCCTCAGGGAGCTGACGTGTGGAGGGCGCCCCTACAGCCTGTGTTTTTGGTGGTGACGGGGGCAACCTGAGCTTTCCTATCCTGGCCCAGCCCCATCTCCTGGTCATATCCCACACCCGTGCACAGACACACAGCTCTGCATCTCCTTGACACTGCCTTCTAGTGGCAAAGGCTGTAGGGGGAGCACCTGGCGACGGCGTGGGAGACATGGACTGGGACATGGCAGGGACGTCTCACACCCACATGGCTGCTCCTGGCCCAGGACAAGGTCAGGCCACCCCAGGCTCACAGACACGGAGAGCTGGCAGAAAAGGGCCTGGCTTCTGCAGCTCCAAGGGGGGCCCCGCCCGAGGATGTGGGGCCCGAACCCTGGCTCATCTGCAGGGGTCGAGGCGCTGAATCCCGAGTCCTCACAGAGACATGCAGGCTGCAGGTGCCCCGAAAGTCCATTCTCCTGCCCAAGTCCTGGAAGCTGGGCGGACAGCAGTGCCCCCAGGGACGCCCACCCTAGGACATCCCTGCTGGTCCCAGGCAGAGGGAATGAGGGGCAGGGACCCCATGGGCGACCCAAATGTCCCACAGAGGCGCTGGCCGAGAGTTAGGCACAGGAAGAAGCGGGGGACAGACAGCATGGCCTGGGGCTGAGGACTGGGGGCACCAGGGAGCCCCTGGCATCCAGTGTGAGCCAGGCCCAGAGCAGGGGCCCTGGGCTCAGAACCTGGGTCCCTCCCACCAGGCAAACTCCCCGCAGCTCACTGGACTCTGGTTCCCAAGGGCAGGAGGGGTTGCCAGGGCAACAGGTCAGGTGGGAGGAGTTGCTAGGGCATTCTGTCTGCCCCAGGAGCTTTTTGGCCCTGGGGGCCTGTGGTAGTTGTGCAGGTTGAGGTTGGACACTGGGCACCGCTGGCTGGAGGCCAGCTGTAGGATGGTGCTGCTCACACCCTAGGCACAGCCAGACTCCCGGCTCCCGTCCTAGGCTGGGGTGCAGCGGGCTGGGGGGCAAGTCTGGGTCTCACCCCACCCCGCCTGTGGCTGTCCTGGCAACACAGCTCCAGCGGATCTTTTTTTCGAGTGTTTTTAAAGTCGCATCAGTGCAGGGAGGCTCGATTGCAGGACAGGGGTGCGGCCTGGTCATGGAGGCTGCACCCCTGTGCTCCTGCTCTGGGGAGGTGGAGCCTGGGCCGTGGCCTGTGCCCAGCTGGAGCTCACAGCAGCCAGGACCAGAGGGCCAGGAGGGGGAGGGGAGCAGGAGGGGGGAGGGGAAAGAGGGAGGGGAGGGGAAAGAGGAGGGGGAGGGGGAGGAGGGAGGGGAGGACTCACCACTTGAGGAAGACCATGCCGGCCAGCACGGCATAGCCCAGCACCAGGAAGAGGACCTTGAGCAGCCGGTCATTCTTGTCCTCCAGCTCCTTGGCCAGGATCTCCAGGAAGGTGACGAAGAGGAAGGTGCCCCCCGCCAGGCCCTGCAGCACGACGGAGGCCACGCTGCTCGGCACTCCGCGGGCGCTCTCGATGCCCAGGCCCATGCCGATGCCTAGCGGGATCATGACGCTCACGGTGACCGCCAGCTTGGCCGCGTCGCGCAGGGGAATGGCGCTGCGGGCCATGCTGATGCCCAGGGCCACGGCCACCAAGGTCTCGTGGATGGCCACGCCCACGAAGAGGCTGACCACCTTCTCGCCCTCCTCCTGCAGGCCGAGCGCCAGGCCCTCGAAGATGGAGTGCGCCGACAGCGCGAAGACCAGGCTGAGCAGGCGCAGGGGCCCCGAGCGTGACAGCTCCTGCGCGCTCAGGCCTGCGCCGTGCGCGTGCGCGTGGCCCTCGGCGTAGAGCGCTGGCCGGTGCGCGCCCCCAGCAAAGGGGCTCTCGTACTCCGAGTCGCTGCCCGCGTCCGAGCCCGCGTTGAAGGTCTCCAGGTCGATGAAGGACGGCTTCTCCTTGCGGAACGTGAGCACCAGCTGCTCCACGAACACGGTCACGAAGAAGCCCAGCAGCAGCAGGGTCTCGGCCAGCGGGTAGTCAGTGCTCAGGTGCGCGAGGCTCAGGACGTGCTGCAGCTGCCATGGGGAGGGGGGACGGAGGCCATCAGAGGTGGCGGTGGGGACACTGCTGCTCACCTTGCAGGGCCCAGGAATATCCCATCTGCACAAGAGGTCAGGGCCCAGGCGGACTGGGGACGGCAGTGCTCGCCTGGCATCTCCGCACTCTGGGAGGCTGAGGCAGGAGGATCACAGCGTGCGCCCAACCTGCGCGATCTGAGTGACTTAGTGAGAGCCTGTTTCTCAAAGGGGCTGGCGGAGGGCTGGGTTAGCGCGGCCTGGTCCAGGCAAAGGTTGGGATGGTGGATGTTATTTAACTTTAATTTAGAAAACTTCCTGGTTCTTTTGAGATAGAGTTCCAGTGTACAGCCTGGCTGGCCTTGAACTTTCGATTTTCCTCTCCCAAGACTCACTGAAACTTGCAGAGCCAAATAAGGCAGGTGTACCCAGGCCCATGTACCCTCCGCGGCCTCATCCAGGTGTAAGTATACTGAGCTCTCTGCAGCCCCAGGGTCTTTGCTCATGCTGTCCACACTGTTGGGGACATTCCTGCCCTCGCCCGGCTCATGACTGGTGGAATCCTAGCCTCTGAGTCTCAGTTTACATGGAACTTCATAGTACCCTAAACCAGGGGGCCCCTAGTGAAGGCCCAAAATTTCAGGCTGCCCATCATAAAATAGGTTCCACATTTTCAGTCAGCAAGGCTCAGTTGCCCAACAGGTTCCGGCATCACTGGCCCGGCCAGCTCCTCGATGGGATCTGCCAGATCTCTGCCCTGCACAGCCACGCCTGAGCGCTCCTCGCTGTGGACCCGACACAGCCAGCCGGGCTCCCCTACACCCTGCACGGTGACCCCTCTTACCCCAGGCTACCCACAGGAGTCCCGCTGCTGGCTGTAAAGCATAGTCCCTGCTCCTTGTGCGTCAGGCTCTGTCACAGCTGAACACACACACAGTGACCCGCGGCTAGTGTGACCATCTCTGGAGGACTTGTAGCAGTGTCTGCAGCCACTGTGACTTTAGTGACCGGTGGGCATGCTGGGGCCGGCGTGGCTGGGGACATCCTAGGCCCTGCCCAGCAGCGTCCCCGCCGCCACCCGCTCTGTGCCAGGGGCTCTGAGTCGCGACGACCACGCATGCCTCCCCGCCCCAGTCAGCCTCTCAGGCCATCTCACCTCAGCTCTACACACTGCCTCGAGGCCTCTTCGTGCCTCTCCTGGGGACAGACACGGTTCAGGGGCCAGGACACACAGAGCAGAAAGGCGTGGCCGCCTGCCAGGGGCGACCCTGAGGTGGGGGAGGGCAGGAGGGCGCGGGGGAGGCGGGCAGGGTGGGGCTGTGCCCCGACATGGCTCGAAGCACACATCCGAGCTTGGGGACAATTCTGAGGGGCTCTTTCGCGTGGACGCAAGCTGTGTGAGCCCCGGGGGGTGTGACAGACACACAGACACGGTCTGCGCTGCAGGATGACACGAAGGTCGTGGCAGGGTCAGGAATCTGGGCCGGGCTGGCTGGGCCCCTCCAGGCGGAAGCCAGGGTCACAGGCGGACCCCACCCGTGGAGGAATGACCCCACCACACTAGTGGGCTCAGAGAACAGCGCCCCGACAGCGTCCACTCCTCGCCCAGGGCTCCGCACCAGGGCGCCTGCGCGGGGGTGGGGGTGGGGAGCTGGGCTGCACCGGAAGTCCCGCCCCTGCCGCTGCTGGCCGGAGACCCCAGCCACTCAGCCTCACAACTCACACCTGCGCGGGCCCAGGCTCAGCTGAGGTCACTGGCAGGCGTGCGCGCCTGCACCCTCCTGAGGCCCTCTGGGGGGCTCGAACCCGAGCCGGAGGCAGCTCCTTGGTATCAGGTCACTGCCAGGAAACGCAGGCCGGGAGCGTGGCGGTCAGGCCCGAAGACGGTGCCTGTGCCAGCCGCCTGTAGAAGGCCCCGTCTCCGGCCCGGGAGGGACCTGGCCCAGACTTCTAAGCAATGGAGGGGCGGGGAGGGAGGTCACACCACCGTCACATGTGACAGATGCTGGTGGAGAGGGACACAGGACCACTTCCTGCCTCTGAGCTCCTCGGTCTCACAGCCAGCAGCGATCTGAACCCACGCTGGGTCTGGAAGCCAGTCCATCTCCACCTTCAAGCCGCGGGGTAACCAACCACAGCCAGGGGACGTCCTGACTGCAGCTTCGTGTGACCCAAAACAGAGGACCTCGCCTGGCCGAACCCAGATGCAGACCCACAGAAGCCACAAGATAATAAATGATGCCCAGGTGCTGTGGCTTGTTATGCAGCAGTAGCTGACAGATGCAAGAGCCCCCTGGCCGTAAGGTGCCCACCGGAGAGGCCTTACCTTCTCCCGCACGGCGGGCAGCAGCGCATTGAAGCAGGTGGCCAGAAAGACCCCGCCCCCAAAGGTGTTGCAGAGGGAAAGGACCTTTTTGGAGTGATGAGCTTTCTCAAAGTCCGTCTCGATGACCTTCACGGGCAGCAGGGAGCCCAGCAGCATGAAGAAGAACACACCCACCATGCAGAGGATCTTAACCACCAACAGCTTCACCATGGCGGCAGCAGGTTGGAAGGCACCGGTCACCGCGGGGCCACACCACGCATGGACACACAGGTGGGCGCCACAATGCACTACCGGGGCTGATCCTGCATCGGGAAGCTCATGGCTCCGCCCAGCAGCTGTGAACACCAGAGGCAACCATGTTAGCTGGGGATCTTCGGGCCAGCCCTAGTTACCCAGCGTCCACCGAGGACTTCTGTCCACCCCACAGCTTGCGCCTATCACTGCCCCCCTTGGAAAACACCAGGGGCTGCAGTGTCCAGTACAGCGGCTACTGAACACATGTCTCCAGATCAACTGCAATGGAACAGTTTGAAATTCTTCTTTGGGGGCTGGAGGTACAGCTCAGCGGCACAAGTGCCTGCCTGGCAAGTGCAAGGTTGTGCGTTTGATCCCCAGTACCAAAAAAAGAAAAGAAAAGAGAAAGAAGGAAAAATTTTGCTTGGTTGCACTGCAAGTGCTTAGTAATCGTGGGCACCTGGTGACTTCAACCTTAAGCTTCAGAGAGGAAGAGCTTCCTTTGTGATGAAATTAATGTGATAATACAGAATACAAACCCTTTAATATCAAGGCTGAGGTTCTCTGTGACCAGTCTTCCCCACCTCAGCCCACATCAGTGTCCCTCAAACATGTCAAACTCCTTCCTGCTACAGGGCCTTTGCACAGGTTGTTCTTGCTGCCTGCCACACCTCTCTACCCTGAACTCCCAAGGATGTCCCTCTCATCTGGGATCTACCCCTTCTCCAAACTGTATATCCTGTAGCCACCATGGGCCTGTGCAAAACATGTCCGGTGGCCACCAGATGAACAGAGGGACCAGCTTGATGTGTTAACCTCTTTTTTTTTTTGGTACCAGGGATCAAACTCACGGCCTGGTAATTGCCAAGCAAGCACTTGTGCCCCTGAGCTACATCCCTGGCTCCTGCATGAGCCTCTTTATGAGACTTGATGGACCAAAGTGGCGATTTTACCCTGGCCTGCAAAATGTGGAGTTACCAGAAGAGACCTCAGCTCCTCCATCTTTGAGTCCCCCTCTTTCTCTCTGCCCTCTACGTCATTTATGTCTACAGGCATCTGCCTAGATGTTGGGGGGGGGGTCATAGGGCCCTCCCTGTCCCCTTAAACTGGCAGAACCCGCCTCTATTTTGTGCGGTGGAGGGAACCGTGTTTTTAAATGCGTTTAAATGCTCCTTCCCGCTTGCTGTGCGCCCCACAGAACCGCAAAGGCACACAGCAGGCGCCTAATAAATACCCGTCGGGGTCTGGCCGACCCAGGCCGCGGAGTGGGCGTGGGGGCGGCCTGCACGCTCTCAAACTGGAACCCGGATCGAGCGGCCCGCGGAGGAGACTGGGCCACCAGTTCATTCAGCACTTAGTGAGCGCCTACTGTGTGCCCGCGCAGCCGCACCGCGCAGCCCGGTCTCGGCTAACGGGCGGAATCGGCCAGGCCTCCCGGCCCTGTCCTAGCGCCCCAGACCCACCTTCGCCCCACAGGTACCTGCGCAGCCTCTCTCGACCGCCAAGCGGCTCCGGCCGCCGCCAACCGCCGCGCGGTTCCCACCCGGCCGCCGCGGTCCAGGAGAGCTCCCGCCTCGGCGCGCCGATGCCCACGTCCCGCCCACCACAACGACTATTGGTGTTGCGGAGCGCCACTGGTTCAAAGTCACACGTTATTGGCTGACGCGGTTGCCACTCATCCTGCCGCTCCACTTCTCCCACCTGCTCCTGAGAGTAGTTTCCTCTTGGCGAGAGGGCGCAGCCACTAAGAGGTTCCGGATGGGAATGTGGCAACATTGAGCATTGGTTCCGAAAGGGTTTGGCTTCCAGAGCTGTCCAGGTCCTCTGGTGCTGAATTCTGCTCGGTTGGAGGCTTGGCAGGAAGTGATTCCTACCGGGGACCATCTCTGTGGAAGCATCCCTGCTGCGCGTTCCCTTCTTCCCGCTTTAAAAGCACAGCCAAGCTGGGCGCGGTGGTGCACGCTTAGAACTCCTGCATTCCGTGGGGCTAAGGCAAGAGGATTCTAAATTCAAGCCCAGCCTGGGCAATTTACTCATTTAGCAAGACTTTCTTTAAAAAAAAAAAAAAAAAAAAGAATTTTAACACAGTTTGAAAGCCCGGAGATTCAATCCCCAGTACTGGGGGAAGTGGGGGCGAAGGGAGGGGGGTGAGAAACAACGAAACAAGAAATAGATATAACTAAGTCGGGCGTGGTGGTGCACACCTGTCATCCCAGCAGTCGGGAGGCTGAGGCAGAAGGATCGTTGCGAGTTCAAGACCTGTCTGGGCTACAAAGTGAGCTCAAGGCCAGCCTGGACTGCACAGCAAGACCCTCTCTCAAAAGGACAATTAAAAAAAAATTGATATAACTAGCTGCAATAGGTGACACTGGATTAAATCCTGATTTAAAAATTGTGTTTTACAAAAATAAAAAAATTCTGCTTTACATCCGGGTACAGTGGCACACGTGTTAATGCCAGCTACTCAGGAGGCTGAGGCAGAAGCATTACTTGGTTGCTGTCACCAAGTAAAAACTCAACAACAGGCTGGAGATGTGGAAAGGCAGGGTGCTTGCCCAGCATGTGCAAGACTTGGCTTCCATCTACAGTACTGAAAAAAAAAATTGTTAAGGTGAAAAAAAGAAATACAGCATTTTGTTTTTGGTATTGAAAATTGAACTCAGAACTTTTGCAACTTTCCTGGCTGGTGCTTATGCCACCAAGCTATATCTGTGGCCCGAAATACAGTATTTTAAGGAACTTCTTTTATTTTTATTATTTATTGTTTTTTGAGACAGAGTCTCTCTATGCAGTTCAGGCTGGCCTTGAGCTAACTTTGTAGCCCAGGCTGGTCTCCAACTTGCAACAATTTTCCTGCCTCAGCCTCCCGAGTGCTGGGCTTATAGGCGTGAGCCACCATGCTGAGCATAAACATACTATTTTAGAATAACTACTTATGGAAAAATTGCAAAGAAAGTTGAGTTTACATGTGTCCACCAGTTTCCCTGTTATTAACGTCTCATATCCAGGTGATATCATATATTTATCTTTTATTTCTCACATTGTTAACCAATAATGATACAATATTAACAGACATCCAAATTATTTATTATTTGTATTGATTCATAATTCCTTAGCTTTTCCTAATATTTTTTTTCCCAATACTGGGGCTTGAACCCAAGGAACATTGAGCTACATCTCCAGTCCTCTCAAAAGAAATTTTTTTTTGTCTTTTTCAGACAGGTTCTTACTGTGCAGTTCAGTCAGGCCTTGAGCTCACTTTGTAGCCCAAGCTGGTCTCAAGCTCACAGCGATCCTCCTGCCTCAGCCTCCCGAGGGCTGGGATTGCAGGCGTGAGCCACCGTGCCTTGCATGGTGCACTCAAAACACAAATTTTGAGTCTGGGTTTCACCAAGCTGCTCAGGCTGTCTGGGAACACGCAATCCTCCTGCCTCAGCTTCCTGATTAGCTAGAATTACAGGTGTGCACCACCATGCTACTGCTAATGTTCCTTTTCTGCCCAAGACTGTCGAGCATCTGGAAAGGTCACCTCCTTATCACATCTGCTTATGTTTCTCTGGACTGTGAGAGCTTCTCAGGTGTGTTTTTTTACTTTTTTTTGGGGGGGGTCTTTTTTAGACAGGGTCATGTTATGCAGCGCAGGCTGGACTTGAGGGGGCACTATGTAGCCCAGGCTGCTCTCAAACTTGCAAAAATCCTCCTGCCTCAGCCTCCCAAGTGCTGGGATCACACGTGTGTGCCACCAGGGATTAAACTCAGGGCCTTGCGCTCGCCAGGCAGGTGCTGTGTCGCTGAGCTCTGTAGCCCTGGCCCTCTAAGGGAGTATGAGTCATCCTTGTAACAGTTGTTATGCAGCAGCATACCAGATCAAAGCAGCCAGGGTGGTGGTGCATGCCTGCAATCCCAGCACTCAACATGCTAAGGCAGGAGGATAGCCTCAAACTTGAGACCAGCCTGGGCTACATAATGAATTCAAAGCCAGCTTAAAACTACTCAGTGAGACCCAGTCTCAAAAACAACAACAACTGCAAGTTCCAGGAGAGAATTAACTTGATGGCCCTGAAAGCCTCTGGGTTGAAGGCTTGGTCCCCAGGGCAGCACTCTTTGAGGGTGCGTTAGAAGGCAGAGTCTAATGGAGGAGCTTAGAGGATTGGGGCAGCCTTAAACTGAACAGTGTGTGGTTCCTGGCAGCACTTTTGGGGTCTGCCCGCACCCTCAGTGCTCACTGGTGGATGAGTCAGTGTTTCAGACCTGTATGTCACCAGACGGTTTGGTTTTAGTACACGTGCTCCCGAGGCACCATGGATCAAGCTGTACTGGTGGTCAACTGTGTACCCTACTGTGCATCTGTCAGCTCAGCTGTAGTTCAAAGGATGTTTTATTCTTGAAATTCTTGAAGAACCAGCTCTAGAGCGCTGTGCTAATCTCTGGGCCTAGTGCTGGTCTGAGGATCTAATAAGCCCGGGTCGGTTCCAATTAGCTACCTCTGGATCCATCCAGACCTGAAGCTGCACAGGAGACCCAGGCAGGCGCCTACTGGAGACAGCAAAGCACCAGCGCGTCCCCTGCTGGCCGACCAAGCAATTGCTCCAGCTCCCCAGTCATGAGCAGCTCCATCCACCCTCTTGGTTTTTGCAATGACATTTTGGTTGTTTTGCTTTTTGAAACAAGGTCTCAGTGTGTAGCTGAGGCTGGACTTGAGCTCATTACGTAGCTCAGGATGGCCTCATACTCTCAGCGATCCTCCTGCCTCAGCCTCCTGAGTGCTGGGATTACAGGCGTGCATCACCACGCCCGGCACAGATTTTGCAATATCAGGGTGGGCAAATGCACTGAGCCTGGGCCTTCAAGGTGCCCAGTTTGGCAGGGACTATTTCACTGCCCAGGAAGACGCTGCGGGGCCGATGAATGAATTAATTTTGCAGGAGGGCGAACAGGCCGGGGCATCTATCAGCTCGACACATTTAGCTGTGTGCTGGGGATGGTTCAGGGAGCTGGGCCCACACGCTGGGGTGGGCATCCTGGGCACTGCAGGTGCCATGTCACCCCCAAGTGACAGCCACACACATCCACCGACACTGACGACTGTGCCTGTCTTTCTAGGAAAGACACAATCTGCTCCTTGTCCCTTCATGTGGGCTGCGCTGATGGCATCTGATGGCAGGAGTCTCCCCTCACTTGAGGTGGCACTGGCTGCCCGGAAGCCCGAGGCTCAGCCGCTCCCGGGACCGCGAGTCCCAGCTGGCACCGTACCGTTCAGAAATAACGTTCAGGAATAACCCTGCCTGCAGCTCTGGCGGCCCGAGGAGTGGTAACGACGACAGCCCCCGTCGCGCCTGCAGCAGCCTCGGCCCCGGGGTGGGACAGCCACGGCTCCCACCTGCCCCCGCCCCACTGGCACCGGGGCTTAGGGCTGGTTTTGTTTTTAACTTCTCCCCAGGTCAAGGGCATTGCGCCCAGGGCCTTTGCACTTTGAAGTCCAACTCAAACCCTTTTTGATTTGGGGCCGGGGTCCTCTGGAGTTTGCTAAGTTGCCCGGACTAAGTTGGAACTTGCGGTTCTCCTGCCTCAGCCTCCCCGAGAGCGGGAAAGACTGCGCACGCCGCCCACTGGCACCGGGGCTTAGGGCTGGTTTTGTTTTTAACTTCTCCCCAGGTCAAGGGCATTGCGCCCAGGGCCTTTGCACTTTGAAGTCCAACTCAAACCCTTTTTGATTTGGGGCCGGGGTCCTCCGGAGTTTGCTAAGTTGCCCGGACTAAGTTGGAACTTGCGGTTCTCCTGCCTCAGCCTCCCCGAGAGCGGGAAAGACTGCGCACGCCGTTATTTCGAGAGCTGGTCTGGGCCTGGCGGGGTGCGGCGACTATGCGCTCAGCCAGCAGGGGCGACCCCACTCGCCCTGGGGCCTCACGTGGGGACCAGAAGGCCCTTGCAGGCCTGGATCCCTGAATCGGCGAGACCGTGAACCGGCTGCCTGGCGAGGGCCGGAGACACGGAGACAGACGGGCAGCACCCGGTGTCCTGAGAGCAACCAAGCGCTGCTCGCGGCGGGGTACCCCCGGGGGCGGCTGCAGGAGTGAGGGCGGCTGGCTACGGACGCGAGAGAGGCACAGCCTTGTCCGGCAGTCCTAGCCTCTGGGAATCCGGGCGTGGGGGCCCAGGCCTGTCACCTCAGGAGGCTGAGGCAGGCGCATTGTGACAAGTTCCAGAGCAGCCTGAACGGCACGGCGAGACCCTGTCTCAAAAACACAAAACGAAAAATCAAAAACCGAGAACGACCCGGAGAAGGGGGGGGGGCAGGAGCCGCTGGGCACGCGCACTGGAGTCTCTCGTGGACTCCGGGTGTCCTGGACGCGCGCTCACACCCGCTCTCCCCCTGGGGAACCCCTCCCCAGGGGTTCCCCACCTGGGCGCCAAGGGGCTGCAGCCCCGGCTGAACCGACTGTCCTGCCGACAGGGCTCTCTGAGGTGACCGGCCGGACAGTGGCTGCTCTCGCGGCAGGGACTTCAGCCCAGCTGGGAAGCCTGGCTCCTGCGTTGGCGGAGAAGGCCGCCAGGTTGGGGGCTGCTATCAGTGTCCCCCACTGCAGGGCGGGGCGTGCAGAGGTCTGTGCACGGTGCTGGGGGGTGACGGGGCCCCTGCCACCCTGCCAGTGCTGGTCACAAGAGGTCCCTAGGGTCACTGATGGGATTTGTGGGCTGTGGGGAGGTAAGGAGGGACCCCACAATGCCCTGAGGCCGACGCCAGCTGAGAGGAGGTCACCATGTGTTTATTCCCATGTGGGTCCCGCTGGTGAGCACTGCGGTGGCCGGGCCGCTGCTTCCTATGATGCATATGGCGTGCGGCAGACCGGGGCCCATCCTGGAGCCCAGTCCCGCCTGGAGGCCCCCGGGGATGGGCAGGGCCGCAGGGACATCTGTGAGGCCCCCGTTGCCCTCGGCCGCCCCTCCAGAAGCAGCTTCCTGGGGAGCAGGGGGGGCCAGGTCCCCGCCTGCAGCAGGGCGGGATGGGATGTGGAGGAGCCTGGGTGGGGTCCCCCGCATGGCCAGGACTCGATGACTGGAGACGGGGGCGGGAAGGGCATGGACGCCGCAGCTCGAGGTCCTCGGTGGGGGCGCCCAGGCCAGGGCTGGCAGTGCAGTCGGCGCCTGGCCGTGAGGTCGGCCGAGCACCCCAAGTCCTTGAAGACAAATTAAGGGACGAAGGGGACTGTGGAGCCGAGTTCAGTGTCCGTGGGCTCCGGAGCCAGGAGGGAGGTCGCTGCTGGTCGGTGCTGGGCCTGCTGGTCTGTCTCCTTGGGGGCCCAGACGTGGAGGGACGGATGGGCAGCGGGGTGGGGACGGCGGGGACAGGGTCCATCCTAACATGCAGCCCCGACTTCACTCAGCTTCTCTCGAGTGGCCCAACGGGAATAAACGGCAGTAGGCGTGGAGGCTTCCGGTCAGCCGAGAAGGACGGGTGGCACGGCACAGCTGGGGGACAGACAGGCGGCCGGCGGCCCAAAACCGGATGTGAGGCCCAAGCACGGGGGAGGACAGGGCTGCAGGGGCCGTGAACACTCACAGCAGGCAAGGCTTCGGCACAGGCCTCTCGTCCCAGCGCTCTGGGAGGCTGAGGCAGGAGGATGGCAAAGTCAAGCCCATGTAACTGAGCGACTCAGGGAAAACCCTGTGTCCCAGGGTGCAGCTCAGGGGCGAGCTCTGGCCTAGCATCCCGGTGCTGCCAACAAGATACTAACAGCCGATGAAACCCAACATCTCAGTCCCATCATGCTCTGGGCGACGGAGGGCCGAGCAGGCTGTGGCTGCTGGGTCAGCACACAGGGCAGGGCCGTCACTGGAAGGTTGTACTGGCTTGAGACCTGGACACGAAGAGGCTGAATGCGTTTCCGACTGAGCTGGTTTGCAGTACTGGAGAACCACCCCAGGCCTTTGCACTGAGCACCACCTGTGGCCATTCTTGTTTCTAAGTCACAGAGCTGCCCAGGCTAGGCTCCAGCTTGCAATCTTCCTGTCTCAGCCTCCCAGAGGGTGGGATGATGGGGACCTGCCACTGTGTGGGAATCCTGGCTCAAGCATTTTTCCCTATAAAAGCTTGGGCTGGGGATATTGCTCAGTAGCACAACGCCTGCCTGGCAAGTGTGAGGTCCTCAGTTCAAGTTCCAATATCAAAAAAAAAAAAAAAAAAAAAGCCCACTATGAAAGCTCACTGAGCCAGGCGTGGGGGTGCACACTCGTTGACCCTTGGCAGGCTGAGGCAGGACAGCACTGTGAGTTTGAGGCCAGCCTGGCTACACAGTTGAGACCCTGTCTCAAACCAACAAAAGCAAAACAAAAAGCTTATTAAAAGAGAGCTATTTGGCGGTGACAATGTGCAATGCATGTACCACTGTGGCCCTGATTGATGCGTTTTGAAACTTTATCCTTGAAATTAAATAGATTTGAAAAACAACTCTAAGTCAAAGAAGAAAAAAAACGGTAGCACTGGGGTGCGGCTCAGTGCTGAGTCCTTGCCTGATACTGTCCCACCCTCGGCACCAAAATTAAGAAAACAGCCTGGTGTCATGGCCCACGCCTGTCATCCCAGCACTCGGGAGGCCAAGGCAGGAGGATCGCTGCACGTTCCAGACCAGCCTGGGCCACAAAGTGAGCCCAAGGCCAGCCTGAGCTGCACAGCGAGCCCCTCTCAGAAAGACAAAAAAAAAAAAAGTGCCCAAACTATTAGCAGGGGTTGGCTCTGATGCAAACATTAAGGCTGTCTTTGTCACTTTTTAAGGTTTTCCTAAAATCATCTTGGTTAAAGAATTAAAGCATGGGTGTGCCTGCACATGTGTGGACAATGACAAAACGAAGCAAGGTGGGGTGGGGGGGCTGACCCCGCCCCTGCCCCCCCCCCCGCAGAGGCCCTGCCCCCTCACCTGCTCCCTGCAGACCCCGCCCCTCACCTGCCCCGCCTCCGCGTCGCCATGGGGGCTTTCACTCCTGCGGTTCCTCGTTGCTGGCACTGGGAGTCCGGCTGCGGATCTGACTGCGCAGCTGCTCGATGAACTCGGGGTTGGAAAGCTGCATGTGCTGCGCGAACTGCTGGCCCCTGTGGACGGCACGGCTTGTGGCCCCACACCTCCCCCACGACCCCCTAGGGCGGCGCACGCGCAGGCTGCAGGGCACTGGGCCCCCTCGTGCCGCCCACCCGTGCCCCCAAGTCCGGCTGCGGCCCCACTCACGCCTGGATGAGGCTGGACAGGTCGCTCTGTGAGGGGCTGGTGCCGGGGGTTCCCAGGGGGTTGTGGCTGCCTGAAATCATCCCGGACATGCTGTGGAGGAAGCGCACGGGCATCACACCGGCCACCCGGGAGGGGACCCTCCGTGGTCACCCCCCAGGCCTGAGGCTGCGAAGACTGGGATGAGAAGTGCGGAGCCGGGGCGGAGCCAGGCCTGCCCAGCAGCTCCATGGCGGAGAGGTGGGGGGGGGATGAAAGTGGCCAGGGGATCCCCAGCCAGTCATGTGACCCAGCGACAGCACTGCCAGGGGTGGGGGTCCCCGGAACCACTGAGGGTGGAGTCTCAAAATGTTCCCACGGCCTTGTGTCCCAGTGACACGGTTCACACAGCCCCAGACAGGCACACCAACCCCATGAAGTCCACCCCACGCGAAGCTGTGACACTCGCCATGGCACAGACAGACCCCGAAGACGCTGTGTTCAGGGACGCACGTCACAGAGGACACAGCACGGGCTCCGCAGACAGGAAAGGCCCGGGACAGGTGACTCCAGGGACAGGAGGCGGACTCAGGGTGCTGAGGCTGGGCGGGGACAGGTGACTGCTCTTGGGGATGAATGGGGCTTTCTTGGGGTGACGTTTTGGAATTACAGGAGGCAGATGGATGCGTGACACTGTGAATGTGCCCGCTGCTACCAAATTGCACACTTTTTCTGTCTTTCTGCAACAGGGTCTCACTGTGCAGGTCAGCCTGGCCTTGAGCTCACTTTGTAGCCCAGGCTGGCCCTGAACTCGTGGGAATTGTCCTGCCTCAGCCTCCTGAGCACTGGGATGACAAGCAGCGCCACCACGCCTGGCTCCAAATTGTGCACTTTAAAATAGCTCAACAGTACGTTTGTTTGCTTTTTTTTTTTAAATGCTTTTTGCTAGATAAGAGAGGCAACCCCAAGAGGACAAGGGGAGGGTGACACTTACAGCTGCTGGAGCTGGGGGTGGTTCATTAAACTTGAGGCCTGAAAAACAGAACACATCTGTCACACCCAGCACCATCATGACACTTTAACTGAGGTGTGTCTGCCTCTGGTGGTACTGGGCTACACAGCCCAACCCTGTTACATTTTGAGTCTCATTAAGCTGCTGGCTGGGCTGGAGCCTGGGATCCTCCTGCTTCAGCCTCCCGAAGTGCTGGGATGACAGGCCTATGTCACCGCGGCTGCTAATCTGAAACCAGCTCGGCCTCACATGTGTCCTCTCGCACAGGCACAGCCCTGCCTTCCTAAGTCTTGTCCCTACGCTCGGGTAGGACGCCCCCCGCCTCTGGCCTGCAGTGCTCAAGGGCGGCTGCACCAGTGGCGGCCACTGCGACCCTGTGTGGTCTCTCCAAGGTGACACCAGTGTCCCAGCAGGCACGGCTGCGCCCAGGAAAAACTCGCTGGTGGCCCCCACCTGCTGGCCCTGGGCGGCTGAGGCTAAGTGGGCTCCACACTAGGGAAGTGGGCAGCACCCAGGAAACAGAGCTCAGGGGGAGGCGGTGGCCCGGCCGATGCCTCTCACGCAGGGCATCATGGCCCAGGTACTTGGGACCCTTTCTCATCTCTGAACCTTGGAGACAGGAGACGCCACAATGGTGGCATCTGTCACTGTCACACTGCCCAGGGGGATTGAGCTGGGGCCGGGGTAAGACTGTGCTGGGCCGTCTGGCCAAGATGCCCAGTGCGGCAGTGGTGGCAACCCCTGTACCCAGACAGGCTATGGTGGGGACCGGGGCGGGCGGGGCTGTCACCATGCTTATGAAGCTTGGGTTGTTCAGCAGGCCGGCGATGTCGAAGCTGCCCATACCGCTCGTCTAGGGACGGGAAAGGCACCAGTTAGCAACACCCCAACGACATCCAACCCAGGCCCGGGACCTGAGGACCAGCAGGCCGGGGTGCTCCATGCCCCATCGCCCCAGGAGCCAGCACAGCGCTGGGCTCCAGCCCACGGGGCCAGCTGGGCCTGCAGGAGAGGCCGCCTCCGCACACACCGCTGCCCGGAGTGACCCCAAGCGCGGACGCTGCTGGGTGAGCACGAACCCCACCCTGAGGGCTGCCCCAGCCGCTGGCACTGCCCACCCACCCTGGTGCCCAGGACAGCCGGGGCCCAGAGCCCACCGCCTCCGAGGGCCCTCCCAGCACCCGCCTGGCCCTGCGGGTTTGGGGGACCACGTGTGGACTTTCCCTCCCTCCCTGTCTGCAGCACAGAGTGAATTCAGGGCTCCCACCGCGCCCTGCCCAGCCCCGCCATCCTGAGATACGGTCTCGCCACGCCGCTACGCTGCCCGGGCTGGACTGGCACCTGTGACCTCCTGTCCTGGCCTCCCGGAGTCCTGGGGTGACGGCGCACCCCACACCTGTGTCGAAAGCCCCGGCCTTCCGCCACGTGCCCCCAGCATCCCTGTCCCTGCAGGACTCACAGGGCTCGGGGCCTCTCGAAGCTTCAGCTCCGCGATCTTGAGGTTGGACTTGTAGGTCTCATTGTCAGGGTCCAGCTCCAGGGCCTTGTTGTAGTAGGCCACGGCCTCTGCGTGCTTGTTCAGGCTGGACAGCGCCAGGCTGCAGGCGACAGGGTGCAGGGTGGCTCCCTCTGCCTGGCCCTCCTAAGGCCCTGGGCCTGGGGGACCCGGCCACCGACCCCTGCTCTTTGGACATTGCTGCACCATGGTTGGTCCTCTGCGGAGACACATGGGCTCCAGGGCGCTCAGCTGGGCAGGGCAGTGGAGCCCGTGACCCTGTGCCAGGCTTTCCTGCGACCCAAGCTGGAGGGGACACCTGGCTTGGCAGCACCATGGCACGGAGAGTGACGCTGTCCCCTGCTGTCACTAAGAAGCCCACCCTGGAGCTCAGGGGGGTGGCTTGTCCAGTCCTGGCCCTCATGGGGACCCTGGTGGCTGCCATCCTGTCCGGTGACGGGCAGGACACCGAGCACGGCCAGCTCCCCAGCTCTCGGGCCAGGCACCCTCCGGGCCACTCACCCCATGCGGCCGTAGGCCTTGCTGTAGGCTGGGTCGATGCCGATGGCGCGCTCGCAGTCCTGCACGGCACCCGCGTAGTTCCCCAGCTTGCTGTAGGCCGCCGCCCTGGGGAGGCAAGGGCACTGGGGTCGGTGCTCCCGGCCACCAGCGGGGTCGCAGAGCTACCCGCACCCCTGCAATGCCCTGCCCACCCAGGGGCACTCTGCGTCCAGAGCCGGCTGCACCCCATGCACACACGCACAGTACCTCAAGGCCTGGAGCCTCAGCCTCCCCCTGGATGGGATGGCAGGACCTTGAGGGGGCCAGGACAAGGTGGCGGCCGAGCCCCGGGGGGTGAGCACTGCCCCTGCCCGCTGACGTTCAGTGACCAACTGCCCAGTTCGGGGGTGACTGGCCGTTGGCTTGGCTCCGCCCGATGTTTGGCCCCATCCCTTCTCCATTCCAGGAGGCAGGTACTGTGAAGCCCCACGTCCCCAGGACACGATGGCATGGAACTGCAGGGTGCGGGGTTCCCCTGAAGCCATGCACGCTGTGACACGCTCATGCTGTACTTTAGGAACTAGGTGAGCTCAGAAATGAGAATGTGGGCCAGGGGGGATTCAGCTCAGCAGCATAACATGCCTGCCTGGCAAGCATGAGGTTGTGAGTTCGATCCTCAGTACCCGCCTCCCCCCAAAAGAGATGAGACTAATACACCCAAAAGTACAATAAACACACTGCACTAAGCTGTGTAGGTGCAGTTTACAAACTAGGTAAGAATAAATAATCACGGCAACAGACTACACTGCAGGCTGTGTGAATCCTCTCTCCCCTCACAGTCTAGGCAGCATTCACATCTGCACTCAGGAGACCGAGGCAGGAGGGTCTCTAGGAGTCCAAGTCCACCATGAACAACACATAAACCAAAAGCCAAAATAAATAAGTAAAATAAAAAAGTTTTACAACGGGGGAGCTAGGGGTGCAGCTCAGTGCAAAGGCCTCAGATTCAGTCCCAGTACCAGAACAACAAAGCCCCAGAAGCCAGGCGCAGTGGTGGACACCCTGCAGGCCCGACAGCTGGGAGGCTGAGGCAGGCCCGAGAGGATGACACAGGTGCCAGGCCCGCAAGGATGACACAGTGGGAGACCCTGCTGCAAAACCCAAACCAAACCCAAACCCAACCCCAGCCTGAAGAACAGCCCCCTGGCGGTTCCGGGGCAGGCTCTGGCCAGGGAGCCCCTCCCGCCGGTAGCAGCTTCTCCCCCGGAGGCCGGGCTGTACCGTGTGCAGCTTGGAGGTGAGCACTCAGCTAGCCGTGCGCAGGGCCCCGCCCGGCCACAAGGACGAGAGCAAGGCAGCGGCCGGACTGCCACCAGCATGCTCTGCTCCGGGCTGGGGACACGCCGCCTATCCTGCCCCCATACCTGTTACAGAAGTAGACGGCGTTGGCGGGGTTCAGCTCGATGGCCTTGCCGTAGAGGTGCACCGCGGCCTCGAAGTTCTCCACCTTCATCTGCTCGTTCCCTGCACAGAGATGGCGGGTGACCTGCAGAGCCACACTTCTCGGCTGGGGTCCCTCCGGCTCTCCCCCTGGGAAGCAGCCCGGGCAGAACCTGGGGCCCGGCCTTGCTTTATGCTAAGCCTGGGTCTCCCCAAGTCACTAAAGCACCCAGGCTGGACTCAGACTCGAGACCCTCCTGCCTCAGCCTCCCCAAGTGCTGGGAACCAACCCCAGATAACAGCCGTGCCTGACACAGCGCCAGGGGCACAGCTGCCGGGCCCTCTGCGTGCCCAGGGCAAATATGTAACTCTCCCCCCACCCGAGTTTTGTACCCCGTGCTGGCTGGGCCCACAGAGCTGGCAGGACCTCAGACCATTCCTGAGTTTCACAGGCAGCCCAGTCCGCTTCCCTGCGGCCGAGCGGGCAGGGCCCAGCCACCACCCGTGGGCGCAGACTCCTCCCGGGGCCCACCCTCACCTTCCGTCTTGAGGCGCTCAGCCTCGGCGGAGTCCTCCTCAGATGGTGGGGTCCGCTCAGGGGTCTTCAGGTCCTGGGGTGGCACCTCCTGTTGGGGAAAGATGCGCCCTGTGCCTCCCTCCCCACCTCCTGGCCCCCCAGGCGTGGCCCAGGTCACACAGGACAGTCCCTGGTGACAACCACGGCCACCATGCTCTCCAGGACGGGATGCGGGGCGCTCACCTGGCCTGCAGCAGCAGCTTCGAATATCTCTGGCAGGGTCTGGGGGAGCGCCAAGTCGCTGTCCCCCAGGGTCACCCCAAACGCCGTCTCCAGACACTGGATGGCAACTGCGGGGGAGATGGGCAGCACCTCTGCCATGCGGCCTCCTCTACGGGCCGGCCCAGCACCCCTCTGCCTGTGCCCGGAGGGACTCCGGGCCCAGTCCTTCTGTTCCCCAAGTCCAGCTGCTGCCCTCTCCCCAACCCCGCAGGCTGGGCCTCGAACCTTCCAGGCTCTCCTGGGCGTCGGACGAGAGCCCACCGTGCCGCAGCTGGTCATGCAGGAACCGGATGATGGCGTAGGCCAGGCGCTTCTTGCTGTCCATCGCCGACTCTGGGATCTGTGGTGCCGCACGAAGAGTAGATTAAGTGCTGGAGCACTGGCAGCCACTTCGAGCCCTGCCTGCACTTCCGGCTCCAGCAGCCACCAGACCTGTCCCACGCTCCACGGCCCTGAGGGGCCCAGAGCCTTGTAACACGTGTGTGTCTGAGAAGAGGGAACCCCCTTGGGTCCCTTGGGGGCTACAGATTTGTCCATGCGTAGGGCAGATGACCAGGTCCTGAGCAGCACGGCACCAAGTGTTCAGTCAAAGCTCTCGCCTCGGGATAGCGGCTCCTGGGTTTCCCATTCATTCATTCCACGGTACCGGACGACGCCCAGGGCTCTCCCCGGAGGCACAGCCTCCGCCCTGCTTGACTTTTGTTATGAGGCAGGTCTCGCTAAATTGCCCAGGCTGGGCTTACACTTGTGGCCTCCCGCCTCAGCCTCCCAGAGCGCTGCGGTGACAGCTGTGCGGCTTCTCTCTTCTGGGTGAGCAGCCAGCAGCTCACGTGCCCAGCACTCCTGCCTTTAGCTGGCACTTCTGGGGCCACTGCTGGCGTCCTCCACACCCCCCTCCAGAGCCGGGCAGGTTCTTGGCTCACACCCATGGCCCTGAGCCCCAGAGAAGCTCAGAGGGCGCCGGACACTGAGACCAGGACCCGCAGCTGCAGCCCAGCTCCTGCAGGTGACCCGGTGCCCATGCCACGTGGAGGCCACTGTCGAGGTCCTGAGTGGGGAGCCGCCGGGGCAGGGGCCAGCAGAGGTGGTGGGACAGGATGGGGGTGCCATGCAGGACGGGTCAGTGTCTCTCCCTGCAGGCCAGGGAGGCACAGGAAACCTTCCCTCGGGACAAAAGCCAAAGAGCAGGGGCAGCACTGGGGCTGGGTCAGGCCCTGACCCGCAGAACAAGGTCTCGGTGGTGGGGGAAGCCTGAGGAAGCCAGCAGGGCGCGGTGACAGGTGGCCCTAGAGGGTGGGAGCATGGACGCAGGTGCAGCTATGGCCGTGTGCTGACAGTGTCACAGCCAGAGCCGAGGCGCATGGGCCTGCTGGGCGCAGGAAGGACCTCCCTGGGGGCTCCAGGCAGTCTGGCCCACACCCCAGGTTCCAGGCCCCTGGGCTCCTGGCCGGCGCAGCTCCATCCCCAGGGGCTGGGCTTTCCCCTGCGGACTGGGGACTGAACCCAGAGGCCCTGCCCTGAGCCACACCCAGCCCTTTTGTACTCTGAGACAGTCTTGCTAAATTACTCAGCCTGGGCTTAAACCTGCAATGCTCCTGCCTCAGCCTCCCAGACGGCGAAGGGACAGGCATGTGCCACCCCAGCTAGCTCATCTCAGCTGTCTACTGGCCAATTTGTTGTCACCTGACAGCAGTCCAGCCTTTGGACGTGGAGGGGCCAGGACAGCAGTGGGTCACACAGGTCACCACACTGGGACACGAAAACCCATGAGGCTAGGAGCGCAATGACCTGCTGGTCTCTGTGCCTCGGTTTCCCTGTCTGCAATACTAGATTAATACATATGACCTGGCTGCCTTTGGGGCAGGGAAATAAAACCTGGACTCTAGGAAGAGCCCCAATTGACTCGGGATGTTCCACAGCTCCGGGCGGCCGTGGCCTGTGGAAGCTCTCTGGGCACAGGCGAGGGTCCCCCAGCACCAGGGATGCCTACCGGGCGCACGGAGCCCTACGCTGTCCTCAGCCATGGGTCCTCCACTTTGGGGGCTGCGTGCTCCACCTGCCCCTCTGTGCGGGCCAGGTGGGGCCACCTTCCCCAGAGCCGCCATCCTCCCCACGGCCCGGGCGCCCCGCTGCCTCCTGCAGAGCTTCGATGTGTGTCCCGGGCACCAAGGCTGTGAGGTGCAGGACAGCTGGCCCCACGGGCTGCCCATATTCTCTAGGCCCACTTGGCAAAGCCCCAATCCCCAGGACCCCTAGAATGCGGCCTACAGACAGGGCCTTCAGAGACACCACTGGGTTTCAAGGTCCACATGGAGGAGGGGACACCTGGACACACAGGGAGGATGCTGGGCGGACGGAGGCAGAGAGCGGAGTCACAAGCCAAGGACCTCGAGGCTCACGGCTGGGCAGGGGCCGGCCTGTGGCCCTCGACAACCAAGTGAGGCCTGCTGGTGACAGGCGCCATGCACGATCCCCACAGCACCCCTGGCGGGTGCGGAGAACAAACCCTATTTTTAGGCGAGCCCACTCGGGCAGAGGGCCTGGGAGGCACCTGGGGTCAGGCTGGAAGGACACACTGGCTCTGACCCGGAGGCCATGCGCGTGTGGAGTGACACAGCTCTCGGTTCGGGGACAGAGGAGCAGTGCCCAGTCCTGCACTGCTGGGGCCCAGAGACCGCGGCCAAGGGGACAGTGCCGGCTTCTGGGCAAACAGTGCTTCCTGCCACCTCTGTACAAAAAGGACCCTGTGCAGGGCCACGCCGGGGGCGCAGCACCACGGAGGCTGTCCAGGGCCTTGCTACTGCCCAGGACAGTCTTGGACTTCTGGGCTCAAAGATTCTTCCTGCCTCGGCCTCCCAAGGTCTGGGACCACAGGCACACACCATGGCCGCTGTGGTGGATGTGACAACTGGTGGTCAGCTTGTCACACCCAACTGAACGGAGTCAGCGGGGTGCTGGGTGCAGAAGGGCCCCCTGGGGGTCGCTGCCAGCAGAGAGAGAGACCTGGAGGGGGAGCCGGGGCTGTGGCTTCTCTGCTGACATGACCCTGGCTGTCCTCATCGCCAGAGGAGCCCGGGACCTCAGTGCCGCTGAGGGTGGCCGCAGGGCTTTTCTGGGAGCTCTGATCCTTACTTTATGTCGCTTCCTGGCTCCAGTGCAGCCTGTCAGGCGGGGCACAGCTCCTTCACTCCGCCGTGCAGGCTTCCTGGCTGCCACCGCCGGCCTTGGGGCCTGTCCAGGGCAGGTCCGTGACACAGACTTGCGCGAGTCATTGCCGTGGGCTCTGGGCCCCCAGCTGGACTCATGCAGGACGCTGCTGTGGGATCCGGGCCCTCGGCTGGATTCTCTGGAATCTCTAGCGTGTGGACAGGTTTCCCGCACTCTTTCTCTTATATCTGACTCTTTTTTTTTTTTTTTTGTCTTTTTTGTTTTTATCGGTACCGGGGATCGAACTCACAAGGCAGGCGCTTATGCCGCTGAGCTACATTCCCAGCCCCATGATATCTGACTCTTTGCGTGACTGTTCTAAAGCTGCATTCCCAGCCCTTTGAACAGGATCTCATCCGCCTCTAGGCTGGCCTTGAGCTTATGATCTTCCTGCTTCAGCCTCCAGAGCACTGAGACACCAAGTGTGTGTCAGCCGTTACTTCAGAGTGTAGAGAGGAGACAGACCCAGCCCTGAGGAGGGCCGGGCTGAGGTCTGAAACCCCAGACTTGCCAGCCTGCCACGTTGCACAGGTGATCAGACCTGCCAAGTGCCTTGGTTTCCCTCGGAGGCCTTACAGCCCTCACCCCAGGAGCAAGCAGCTTCCGGACCACAGCGCCTTGAACCTGACCCCGGGCTACTGCAGGAGTCTATATTCCAAGGTGGTAAGAGCCTGTCACCCTCAGACCAGGTCACGCGGCCTCAGGGTGCCGCGCCAGGCTCACGGAGCACTGGGTGTGACTGCAGGAAACAAGCCCAAAGAGAAGGGAGACACCAAGTGAGCACGCCTGTCATCCCAGCACTCGGGAGGCTGAGGCAGGAGGATCGTTGCGAGTTCAAGACCGGCCTGGGCTACACAGTGAGCCCAAGGCCGGCCTGCACCGCATAGTGAGACCCTGTCTCAAAAAAAAAACACAAAGGTGGGGGAGAAGCCAGAAGGCCACAGGGGGAGGACTCCAGGGACAGGAAAAGCCCAGGACAGCCAAATCCAGAGACAGGATTGGGGGGCATAGGGTAGGGAGGGAATGGGGCACCACTCACGGGCATGGCCTGGAACTAGAGAGGACAATCGCACAACCTTGAGGACAGGCCACAACCCAGTCAGTATTTTGGGGTTTTTTTGGCACCAGGAATGGAACTCAGAACCTCACATCAGGCAGGTGCTGGGCGCTGGGCTACATCCCCGGCCTGGGGCCGTGCAGCTTTCTGATGTTAATCGCATCTCAATGTTTAAAAGGAGGAAGCCGGGAGAGAGCTGTGCTTCCTGCTTCCAGTAGGTGGGCAGAGGGCACTGCCTCCCTGGGTGCTCCTGTATCTGTCTCCTCTGGACATGGAGAAACCCCCAAACCGTGAGACCTGGGATGAGGATGGGCCTGGAGCACAGTCACTCCAGGGTCCTGACACACAGCAGGGGGGGTCCACCCTGGGAAGGGGACTCCCCATCTAAAAGGGCTCAGATATGAACAGTCAGGTCAGCTGCCCCCACTCCAAAGGACCCACCCCACGCGCCCAAGGACCCACTCCAAAGGCTAAAAGCTTTGATTTGCAGAAACCAGTTTTAAAGCCACATGTCCTAACCGCAATGCTCTTCACGGGTTCAAAGGTACAAATAACTCAGACGTCCTTGATAGACAAAGGGATACACGCACAGCAGCCCATCTGCACAAGGAGTATTACTCAGCCCTGAAAAGGAACGGAGTCCTCACATTTGCTGTAACAGGGACAACCTTGAAGTCGCTGTGCTGAGTGAACCAGATGGGACTCCACTCCCAAGGGTCATCAGAGCCACAGGGGCAGAGAGGAGGGCCTGAGCTGGGGAGGGACAGGAACTGCTGTTTCATGGGGACAGAGGGCTGGTGGGGAAGAGGAGAACGTTGTGGAGATGAGCCACACGAGGTGGCACCCATCTGCAACCCCAGCACTTGGGTGGCTGAGGCAGGAGGATTGCTGGGAGTTTGATGGCCAGCCCGGGATACGCTGTGAATTCAAGGCCAACCTGGTTTAGATAGAGAGCTCATCTCAAAGAAACAAAAACAAAAGCCAAAGCAATCTTAGCAGTCCAGAGGCTGAGGCAGAAGGATCGCCTGAGCTCCACAGTGAGACCCCGTCTCAAAAAAAAAAAAAAAAAACAAAAC